TTTAATTGCCCCTTCCAAATGGTCTTACAAGCAACCATTCTGACTTTAATGAAAGGATGTTTTGCTTGTAGAACTGGTAACAAGCCAGGAACTGGGACATGGGATACTCCAAAGGGTTCAGTACATTAATCAGAGGACATCCTATACTCTTTAAAGATAGCATGGTGTAGCCCTCACAGCTTGGGATCATGACCGTGCTTCAGAATAGTTTAAAGTCTCATAGTTTGGTTTAAGGTGCTGCGCCATTGCGGGGTGTCAATCAGAGAACCGTCTACTTCCAAATCCCAAAGCAGCTGCCGGCTTGGTCTCCTGGTACAGTCCGACAGTTCCTCAGGGGTAGGCAGCCCCTTGAAGCTCACAGATACATCCCTGATGGGGAAAAGACAATCTCCTCAAGGCTTCAGGCCACCTCCAAGACCACCTTCTGGGCACACCTCCCAGGGATTGACCAGGTCATAGTAAATATTCAGGCCAGTCATTTGAATTTCCCACCCTAAGTTCTGGAAACTTCTCCCAAGGGCAGGGGAAATAATCCAACTCCCAGCCTGTGAAACCCTAAACAGACCAAGGCAAATGATGCTTGCTCCTCTAATTTCAGAGCACGCCACTAAACTCTTGATTGACTGTTTTGCTAAAGATATATATATATATGTAGCCCTGATTGATTGGAACTAGATTATGTTATAAAGACTGTATTGTTGGTGGCCTCTAATGAGGTCCATCCATGCCCGTGGATCAGCAGAAAAGCCCAGCTACATTTCAGATCAAAGTATTTCTCAGCATGTAGCAAAGGGGCAGTAGGGTGGTGGTTGTTTGTCACGTCCTCCATGTTTTTTGATGAACTTGTTGGGCTCCAAGTCTGGGAAACATGAGAAGCCTACTCCCAGGGTGGATTCTTATGGGCTGCACTGGGCACCTTGTACAGGGTCTCTCTCTTTCTCTTCACACACATGGGGTTTTCTCTGTGCCATTTTCACCAATGTCCTGGGACAAGGCTAAGGTTGCTATCAGGGAATACTCAGCCGTAAGGTGGGCCTCTACTCTTAGAGATGAGCCTACACTATGTACCCTTGCACAACTTTCCACTGTAGCTTGCAATTAGGTGGGCTGTGCTGAACACTGACCACAGCCACCTGTGCAGCGTTTTCCTACTACCAGGCCTGGTAGCAGCATGGACCCCCCCGCTGTACACATAGCGCAGGATCCAACATGCACTTGACTTTAATGCTTGAACGTCCGTATCTCTGTACACGATGGGGACCTCCACAATGCAATTCCTTTCTGGTTGCTGTGGGAGATGGAATGTGGCGTAGGGAGTGCTGACAACATCACCCTCACAGCTAGAGGCCAATCAACCTATAACAGGTACACTCTGGGGACAGGCTGCTTGCTGACTGTATCTTCATTGCTCATGGCAACCACATGTGTAACTTGCATTAATGCGACTCTTCAGTGTGTTAACTCTTCATAATCCATGTGCTAGTGACCCAAGCTGTAGACTAGGTGTAAAGTTGTGCCGGTTATTTGCATTACACCCCTTTGAGTAACTTTAGACCAGGCAAAAGGCAAAATGTCAGCATTTTACTGACTACAGTGCTACATTGCAAAGTCCTACACAACTTCAACAAAACAGTCATTTTTCCTAAGTCCCTAGTCGCTAATCCTGACCAGGCTTTGTGCTGCCCCAGCATACCTGCAAATATAGAGTCCACGTGGTTACAGCATCTAGCAGAGGCATACTCTAATAGATGTCTTCGGGGCGAACCCCAACTCTTAATGTCTTTATGGCTGGATTGTGCCATTTTTGCAACTTATCCCGGTGTAACTCTCTTCAGGGAACCGGGAAGCTGGCCAAGACCAGTTGACCTGGACCAAGACTAGGCAAAAGTAACAGCAGCGATGGACCTCTCGGACCTCGGACTCCCCCTGACCTGGCCCTCTGCCCACTATTATATTCACAAAGGCAGTGGTAGGACCTAAGGATCTTTCCAAAAGCCCAAGAACTGGGAAGAACATTAATGCCTATCCTTCCATCTGGGGCAGCACCTAACTAACTTGAACCTGCCTGCAAGCGTTGGTTGAGCCACAGCAAGAGGGGTGGCATCTCCATCTGTGGTCATTATGCGTATTTACTTATTGGGCCTTTGAAGTTTTGTGAATCCAAAAATTGCAAATAGGTGTCTTGTCTGTCAGGAGTTACACGTATGAAGCCAGCGAAGTGTAGATGTCACAAGGATCTGTATCGAAAAACGATACGTGCTAATTGATACAATTTGCTGAAATCAGTTACAATACATGTCATAATGAAGTCTTTGTTGAACACGTAAGCATTCTGCAGATAATAACACTCATTTCTGAGGTGTGACTCATAATAAAGTGTTGACGTTTGATGCCACAAATAAAGGTTTTATGATATCAGACCTCTGGGCTTGTAAGAGGGGGAATATAGAAGGGAGAAGTGTAAAAGCAAAGTTCAGAAAGACCTATTTTATGTTTAATTAGATAATAAAATGTCTAGCGAGCGCTACCAGGGAAAAGAGATTAAATGTATAGAGCCGCTAGAACACCAAAAAGGTAACCAAAAAAACCTTCCAGAAATATATGTAAATAGTAAAGGTGCAGCGCTGGGGATAGGAACAATAAAGTGCAAATAACGGTCAAATATAACATGCAATATGCAAAATCGTCCTTCAGAGCATAAAGTACAAGAAGTGATATCACTAGTGGGGATCACAGTGAAGTCAGGCGTCCAAATGAAGAGACGTATAACGTGGGGATCCTGTAGAGTCCCAGCTTAAAGTGTGAATATGTGATCCAGAGGTGATAGATTAATGAGCAGAATGCGCACTCACCAGAGGTGATAGATTAATGAGCAGAATGCGCACTCACCAGAGGTGATAGATTAATGAGCAGAATGCGCACTCACCAGAGGTGATAGATTAATGAGCAGAATGCGCACTCACCAGAGGTGCGTATTTAATACACATATAGGAGGTCTCCTGTATCATCAGGCACACATTTGGTCATCCGTATTCTGGTCAAGCTGCATTCACTATTATTGCATCCGCCTGAACCGGATGCAAGAAGGACTGTAGATGCTGGGTGGTAGGATAGCATGATCTGGACGCAAAGCAGGGATGAGAAACTGAGAGATCTCTTCGTAAAAACAGCACACGGTACACATATTTACCCCTTGATTGCCCCTTAGATGTTAACCCCTTCCCAGCCAGTATCATTAGTACATTGACAGTGTAAAGTATTATCACTGATCACTCTATTAATGTCACTGATGATGTCAGTAGCAGTCGTTCCCCCCCCCCCCCCAGTGTTAGTGTCATATTGCCCGCCGCACTACCGCAGTCCCATTTTAAGTCGTCGATCACTGCCGTTAGCAGTATAAAAATACATACAAATTCCAGTATCTATCCCATAGTTTTGTAGACACTATAACCGATCAATATACACTTATTGGGATTTTTTTTTTACTATCAAAAACATGTAGCAGATTACATTCCGGACAAAATTTATGAAAAAATTGTTTTGTTTTTTTTTCATTGGATTTGTTTTATAGCAGAAAGTAAAAAAAAATTTTCTTTTTAATTTCAAAACTTTTGGTCTTTTTTCATTTATATGATCAAAAATAAAATACCCAACGACGATCAAATACCATGAAAAGAAAGCTGTTTTTGGGTACAGTGTTGCATGACTGCACAACTGCCAGTTAAAGAAGCTTAGTGCCGAAGTGCAAAAAATGGCCTGTTTAGGAAGGGGGTAAAATCAGAATATATCAGAATCTCAAGTGTTTCATATTTAAAGTGATTTTAAACGTTAAATGTTTTTAAAATAACAAACATGTTATACTTACCTGCTCTGTGTAGTGATTTTACACAGAGCATTCCCCTATTTTTCTCCTCTATTTCTCTCCTCCGCCGGTGCTCATGGCTCCTCCTGTTTTTTGGGTACCCCCTAACAAGGGGCTTGCTGGAAGGATGCTTGCTCCCGAGCCCCAACTGCTTGTGTCCATAGACACAGACAGGGGGGCTGTGCCCCGCCCCCCTGCCCCCTCATCATAGGGGGCGATTTCTTGCCATGGGTATTATACTCGGCCCACCTTCATATACCAGTCATAGCCCAGGAGTTCATACGTAGATGGCCACTGACCTGGAACAGCATTCTGGGCAGAGTTCAGACTTTTGAGATTTCTCTGGATGTGTATTTGTTCCAATTCAGTGGCTTTATAGGTAGAGAAGCCAGGATTAGGAAAATGGCCCCAAAGCTGCACCTGTAAAGAGGATTAACACCTTCACTGTATACCAATCAGAGATAATAAGTACAGGAAACCCCCACACACACCTTTTGAGTCACCCTTTGTTTCTGGCCCCCCTACTTACCGCCAAGCACTGTCGTTTGGTTCCACCCCCTACTTACCGCCAAGCACTGTTCTTTGGTTCCATTCCCACTACTCACCTCCAAACACCCTCCCTTGGTTTCACCCCCTACTCACCTCCAAGCACTGTCCTTTGGTTCCACCCCATACTCACCTCCAAACACTGTCCTTTGGTTCCACCCCCTACTCACCTCCAAGCACTGTCCTTTGGTTCCACCCCCTACTCACCTCCAAGCACCGTCCTTTGGTTCCACCCCCCCTACTCATCTCCAAGCTCCATCCCTTGGTTCCACCCCTTAACAACCTCCAAGCACTGTCTTTTGGATCTACCCCTACTCACCTCCAAGAACCGTCCTTTGGTTCCCACTGACCCCCAATGTAAGGAACATTCTTCCCACTGATCACCAATGTAAGGGACATTCTTCCCACTGACCCCCCCAATGTAAGGGACATTCTTCCCACTGATCACCAATGTAAGGGACATTCTTCCCACTGACCACCAATGTAAGGGACATTCTTCTTCCCACTGACCCCCCAATGTAAGGGACATTCTTCCCACTGACCCCCAATGTAAGGGACATTCTTCCCACTGACCCCAATGTAAGGGACATTCTTCCCACTGACCCCCAATGTAAGGGACATTCTTCCCACTGATCACCAATGTAAGGGACATTCTTCCCACTGATCCCCAATGTAAGGGACATTCTTCCCACTGACCACCAATGTAAGGGACATTCTTCCCACTGACCCCCAATGTAAGGGACATTCTTCCCACTGACCCCCAATGTAAGGGACATTCTTCCCACTGATCACCAATGTATGGAACGTTCTTCCCACTGACCCCCAATGTAAAGGACATTCTTCCCACTGATCACCAATGTAAGGGACATTCTTCCCACTGACCCCCAATGTAAGGGACATTCTTCCCACTGACCCCCAATGTAAGGGACATTCTTCCCACTGACCCCCAATGTAAGGGACATTCTTCCCACTGATCACCAATGTAAGGGAACATTCTTCCCACTGATCACCAATGTAAGGGACATTCTTCCCACTGACCCCCAATGTAAGGGACATTCTTCCCACTGACCTCCAATGTAAGGGACTTTCTTCCCACTGACCATCAATGTAAGGGACATTCATCCCACTGACCCCCAATGTAAGGGACATTCTTCCCACTGACCCCCAATGTAAGGGACATTCTTCCCACTGACCCCCAATGTAAGGGACATTCTTCCCACTGACCCCCAATGTAAGGGACATTCTTCCCACCGACCCCCAATGTAATGGACATTCTTCCCACTGACCCCCAATGTAAGGGACATTCTTCCCACTGACCCCCAATGTAAGGGAACATTCTTCCCACTGATCACCAATGTAAGGGACATTCTTCCCACTGATCACCAATGTAAGGGACATTCTTCCCACTGACCACCAATGTAAGGGACATTCTCCCACACTGACACCCCAATGTAAGGGGCATTCTTCCCACTGACCCCCAATGTAAGGGACATTCTTCCCACTGACCCCCCCCCCCCAATGTAAGGGACATTCTTCCCACTGATCACCAATGTATGGAACGTTCTTCCCACTGACCCCCAATGTAAGGAACGTTCTTCCCACTGACCCCCAATGTAAGGGACATTCTTCCCACTGACCCCCCAATGTAAGGGACATTCTTCCCACTGACCACCAATGTAAGGGACATTCTTCCCACTGACCACCAATGTAAGGGACATTCATCCCACTGACCCCCAATGTAAGGGACATTCTTCCCACTGACCCCCAATGTAAGGGACATTCTTCCCACTGATCACCAATGTAAGGGACATTCGTCCCACTGACCCCCAATGTAAGGGACATTCTTCCCACTGACCACCAATGTAAGGGATATTCTTCCCACTGACCCCCAATGTAAGGGATATTCTTCCCACTGACCCCCAATGTAAGGGACATTCTCTTCCCACCGACCCCCAATGTAAGGGACATTCTTCCCCACTGACCCCCAATGTAAGGGACATTCTCCCCACTGACCACCACCCTGATGTATCATGAGATGTAGATATAGTCATCTTTAGTCGGTCTCTTTATAGTCACCATTGGCATTCTCCTATCTCCATCCTCACAGGTTCATTTCATGTCACAAATGTTGGAAACGCAGACATGGAAATAAAATGTAAAATGTTGACACTTAGAGATCCCCAAATTGTTGGGTGACTCGGCAGCGATGCCTCCTCCATGAAATGATTGAGATCTGACGGCTTTTTCTTCTCTTTGACATGGAAAGAAAATGTATTTCTGATTTTTATGGGTTTTTTTATTTCTTTTTTTACCTTTGTAGATATAATGGACCGAATCTTGTGCTGAAATACATCAAAGAAAAAGGTCGCCTAGTGAACGTTGCGGTGGATGAACGCAGCTCTCCGTATTATCCACTCCGGGACCGCCAGGGCAATGCCACGGGGTCACCGCCTGTGATATAGATGGCGATGGACGGGAGGAGATTTATTTTCTGAACACGAACAACGCGTTCTCAGGTAAGAGGAAGTCCTGCGCACGCGGGACCCGTATTCCTTGTGTTCTTCACACTGCGGGGGGATCTTCACACTGCGGGGGGATCTTCACACTGCGGGGGGATCTTCACACTGCACACTACGGGGGGATCTTCACACTGCAGGGGGATCTTCACGGGGGGATCTTCACACTGCTGGGGGATCGTCACACTGCTGGGGGATCTTCACACTGCGGGGGGATCTTCACACTGCACACTGCGGGGGGATCTTCACACTGCGGGGGGATCTTCACACTGCTGTCACACTGCTGGGGGATCTCTCCACTGCTGGGGGGTCACACTGCTGGGGGATCACGCAGGGGGGATCGTTGCTGGGGGATCGTCACACTGCGGGGGGACACCTGCTGTTTTCACTGTATATGTTTTATATTTACTTTTTGTGGCTGTAGCACTTTCCTTTATTATCTCATTTCCAGACCGATGTTACGTTTTGGTATAAAAGTGGTTCCTTCCAAGACTCTTCTAGGGTCTGCTTAGCCTATGTAACCTCGTATAATATGGTGGTCTCCTAATATGCATTCCCTAGAGCTGAGCTTACAGGATTACGTTCAGGTTTTTTTTTTGAAAAGCGTAAGTGTTCTGCTCCACTATCATGTAATCTAGTGGCAATTTTTGAGCCACTGCGACTTGTTTTTACAATATGATTTTGGTATCTTCATCTGTCCTCCCCTCCTGTTTAGTGCTAGTTTGTTCAGTCCTACCTAGACCCTCCTCATTTTTTCCATGTTGCTTCAGCCACTGTTAGGGTGCGTCTAAATCTCCCTTTCCTCTGAAGCCCGATCTGTGTGTGGGGGATCTACTGTTACTTGGAGGCTCTATTGTTGCTGGGGGTTATATTGTTAGACGGGGTCTATTGTTGTTGGGGGGATCTATTGTTGTTATAGGGGGTCTATTGTTGTTTGGGGATCTATTGTTGCTGGAGAGGGCTATTATGCCTGCAGGGGATCTATTTTACTGCTTTTCTTGATATCATTAATGAATTCCATACAAATAGCTCAACACCACAATAATTATATATTTGGTTCTGTTTTCTCTAAAATGGGCGGTGCTCGGAGGTGGGTAGGGGGTAGAACAAAGGAATTGTGCTCAGAGGTTAATAGGGGTGGAACCAAGGGACAGTGCTCAATGTGGGTAGAGGGTGGAGCGAAGGGGGTAGAGGGGGTAAGGGGTGGAAACAAGGACAGTAGCTGTTCAGAGGTTAATAGAGGGTGGGCCAAGGGACAGTGCTCAGAGGTGGGTAGAGGGAGGAAACAAGGGACAATGCTCGGAGGTGGGTAGGGGGTGGAACCAAGGGACAATGCTCGGAGGTGGGTAGGGGGTGGAAACAAGGAATGGTGCTCAGAGGTGGGTAGGGGGTAGAACAAAGGAATTGTGCTCAGAGGTTAATAGGGGGTGGAACCAAGGGACAGTGCTCAGAGGTGGGTAGAGGGTGGAGCCAAGGGACAGTGCTCAGAGGTGGGTAGGGGGTGGAACCAAGGGACGGTGCTCAGAGGTGGGTAGAGGGGGTGGAACCAAGGAACGGTGTTCAGAGGTGGGTAGGGGGTGGAAACAAGGAATGGTGCTCAGAGGTGGGAAGGGTGTGGAAACAAGGAATGGTGCTCAGATGTGGGTAGGGGGTGGAACCAAGGAACAGTGCTCAGAGGTGGGGTAGAGGGTGGAGCCAAGGGACAGTGCTCAGAGGTGGGTAGAGGGTGAAACCAAGGAACGGTGCTCAGAGGTGGGTAGGGGGTGGAACCAAGGGACGGGTGCTCAGAAGTGGGTAGAGGGTGGAACCAAGGACGGTGCTCAGAGGTGGGTAGAGGGTGGAGCCAAGGGATGGTGCTCAGAAGTGGGTAGAGGGTGGAACCAAGGAACGGTGTTTAGAGGTGGGTAGGGATAGTGCTCAGAGGTGGGTAGGGGGTGGAACCAAGGGATGGTGCTCAGAGGTGGGTAGGGGGTGGAAACAAGGGACAGTGGGTAGGGGGTGGAACAAAGGAATTGTGCTCAGAGGTTAATAGGGGGGGGAACCAAGGGACGGTGCTCAGAGGTGGGTAGAGGGTGGAGCCAAGGGACAGTGCTCAGAGGTGGGTAGGGGGTGGAACCAAGGGACGGTGCTCAGAGGTGGGTAGGGGGTGGAACCAAGGGATAGTGCTCAGAGGTGGGTAGGGGGTGGAACCAAGAGATGGTGCTCAGAGGTGGGTAGGGGGTGGAAACAAGGGATGGTGCTCAGAGGGGGAAACAAGGAATGGTGCTCAGAGGTGGGTAGGGGGTGGAATAAAGGAAGGGTGCTCAGAGGTGGGTAGGGGGTGGAACCAAGAGACAGTGCTCAGAGGTGGGGGGGGGTGGAACCAAGAGACAGTGCTCAGAGGTGGGTAGGGGGTGGTAACAAGGGATAGTGCTCAGAGGTGGGTAGGGGGTGGTAACAAGGGATAGTGCTCAGAGGTGGAAACAAGGGATGGTGCTCAGAGTTGGGTAGGGGGTGGAAGGAAGGAACGGTGCTCAGAGGTGGATGTGTGGGGGTAGAACCAAGTAACGATGCTTGAAGGTGGGTAGAGGGCAAGGGGTGACCCATAAGGGGGGGTTCTCACATATTCTCTGAGAATAAAAGCCCTGCCAGTAAGTCCCCAGCCTGGCGGCAGCCTTGTCTTCGCGCTCCGCTGTAATAAAGCAGAATTGATTTTGATGTGAACTGTTTGTTCTCGCTCCCATGGTTGTCCCTCTGCCGGTCAGTCCAGCCTTCGTTAGAAAGTTTCTAAAATGTGACCTCTGTCTGTATCTGGAAGAAGAAATATTCACACGTTGGTAGGTGGTCCTGTTGTGCTGATCGGTTTCTAATAAAACGGTCACTCCTGCGGTGAGATCTCACTTTGCTGCGTCCTTCAGATCAGAACTCTCATCAGAAGTTGATGCCGTACGAGGACACGGACCTCTGTGGTGGGATTTGTCGAGGAGAAGTGTCTGGTGCGTGGTGTGGTGCCAGATTGTGCTGCAAACTCGATTTCATCACAAATACAGAGAAGAGTGAAGTGGGGCAGATTCAGCAGGCCTGGCATACAGCCCTCCTCTGTATTAGAGAGCTATGATAGTCAATGTTAGAGATAGCTGAGACCTCCTTATACAGGCTCCTGAAGTATCCCATCCAAAACAGGAAATATTTCATTATAGTCTATGGCTACAGCGACCGTATGAACATTTTCTTTTCAAATAATATAGGGCAAGGCTTTCAAAATAATATTCCTTTAAAGGTTGTGCCTGCACCCCGCACTTTAAATATACCAAGAAAATATGTTCAACTGTAATAATCATGTGACAGCGATGTCATAAAATCCCTAAAAAGGGCATTCGGATTAGCGACCACACCCCCATCCAGCAAGAAGTAAGCCAAAGAGAGTTGGGGGAGGACAATGAGAAACAGGATTGGATTGAGATCTGGAGAATTTGGAGGCCAAGTCAACACCTCAAACTCGTTTTCCTCAATCCATTCTTGAATTCATCAGCCCAGGCCACTTTCTTCAATTGCTCCGTGGTCCAGTTCTTATGCTCATGTGCCCATTGTAGGCATTTTGGCTGTGGACACGGGTCAGCATGGACACCCTGACCGGTCTGTGGCTACACAGCCCCCATACACAACAAACTGCGATGCTCTGTGTGTTCTGACACCTTCCTATCAGAACCAGCATTCACTTTTTCAGCAATTTGAGCTTGTCACATGGTACAAGGCTGTTGTGAATGGCCCTGTACCATGTGATCTCAGTGATCATTCACAGATTTCACACATAGTAAGCAATGATGTCACAAGTTATTATTATTATTATTATTACATGGAGTTTATATAGCGCCAAAGGGTTTGCTCAGCGCTGTACAATATAGGGGGGACAATACATGGCACAGTACAACAACAACAAACAACGTACGAGGGTAAGAGGGCCCTACTCTTTCGAGCTTGCAATCTAGGAGGGAGGGGGTAATGGTACAGTAGGAAGTGGCTGAGGGGAATGAGGGGTGGGAGGAAAGAGGGAGAATGGCCATTAGGTGAGGGTGGGGTAGGCTTCCCTGAAGAGATGGGTTTTGAGGTAGCACTTGAATGTGAAGAGGGAAGGCGACAGTCTGATGGATTGGGGCAGTGAGTTCCAGAGGATGGGGGAGGACCTGGAGAAGTCCTGCAGTCGTGCATGGGAGGAGGAGACCAGGGAGCAGGATAGAAGGAGGTCCAGTGAGGAGCGAAGGGTACGGGTAGGGTGGTACTTGGGGATCAGGTTGGTGAGGTAGTCAGGGGCAGTGTTGTGAACGGCTTTGTAGGTCAGGATTAGAAGTTTAAATTTGATGCGTTGGGCAATCGGGAGCCAGTGGAGGGAGAGGCAGAGGGGGGTGGCA